ACAGAGACATCACACACAGAAAGACATCATACACAGAGAGACATCACACACAGAGGAACATCACACACAGAGAGACATCACACACAGAGACATCACACACACAGAGAGACATCACACACAGAGACATCACACACAGAGAGACATCATACACAGAGGGACATCACACACACAGAGACATCACACACACAGAGACATCACACACAGAAGGACATCACACAGAGAGACATAACACACAGAGAGACATAACACACAGAGACATAACACAGAGAGACGTCACACACAGAGACATCACACACAGAGAGAAACATCACACACACAGAGAGACATCACACACAGAGAGACATCACACACAGAGAGACATCACACAAAGAGACATCACACACACAGATACATCACACACAGAGACATCACATACACAGAGAGACATCACACAGAGACATCACACACAGAGAGACATCACACACAGAGAGGTATCACACACAGAGGGACATCACACACAGAAAGACATCACACACAGAGCGAGACATCACACACAGAGGGACATCACACAGAGAGACATCACACACAGAGAGAGACATCACACACAGAGAGACATCACACAGAGAGAGAGACATCACACACAGAAAGACATCACACACAGAGAGAGACATCACACACAGAGAGATACATCACACACAGAGAGAGACATCAAACACAGAGAGACATCACACACAGAGAGACATCATACAGAGAGAGACATCACACACACAGAGAGACATCACACACAGAGAGACATCACACAGAGAGACATCACAAACACAGCCAGATATCACACACAGAGAGAGACATCAAACACAGAGAGAGACATCACACACAGAGAGACATCACACACAGAGAGAGACATCACACACACAGATACATCACACACACAGAGGGACATCACACACAGAGAGACATCACACACACAGAGACATCATACACAGAGGGACATCACACACACACATCGACATCACATCACACAGAGAGGCATCAGACAGAGAGAGAGACATCACACACAGAGGGACATCACACACAGAGACATCACACACAGAAAGACATCATACACAGAGAGACATCACACACAGAGGAACATCACACACAGAGAGACATCACACACAGAGACATCACACACACAGAGAGACATCACACACAGAGACATCACACACAGAGAGACATCATAAACAGAGGGACATCACACACACAGGGACATCACACACAGAGACATCACACACAGAAGGACATCACACAGAGAGACATCACACACGGGGAGACATAACACACAGAGACATAACACAGAGAGACGTCACACACAGAGACATCACACACAGAAAGAAACATCACACACACAGAGAGACATCACACACAGAGAGACATCACACACAGAGAGACATCACACACAGAGACATCACACACACAGAGACATCACCCACACAGAGACATCACACACACAGAGACATCACACACAGAGACATCACACACACAGAGAGACATCACACAGAGACATTACACACAGAGAGACATCACACACAGAGAGGTATCACACACAGAGGGACATCACACACAGAAAGACATCACACACAGAGAGAGACATCACACACAGAGGGACATCACACACAGAGAGACATCACACACAGAGAGAGACATCAAACACAGAGAGACATCACACACAGAGAGACATCACACAGAGAGAGACATCACACACAGAGAGACATCACACACAGAGAGACATCACACAGAGAGACATCACAAACACAGCCAGATATCACACACAGAGAGAGACATCAAACACAGAGAGAGACATCACACACAGAGAGACATCACACAGAGAGAGAGACATCACACACAGAGAGAGAGACATCACACACACAGAGACATCACACACAGAGAGACATCACACACAGAGAGACATCACACACAGAGAGAGACATCACACACAGAGAGAGACATCACACAGAGAGACATCACACAGAGAGAGAGACATCACACACAGAAAGACATCACACACACAGAGAGACATCACACACAGAGAGACATCACACAGAGAGACATCACACAGAGAGAGACATCACACACACAGAGAGACATCACACACAGAGGGACATCACACACAGAGAGAGACATCAAACACAGAGAGAGACATCACACACAGAGAGACATCACACAGAGAGAGACATCACACACACAGAGAGACATCACACACAGAGGGACATCACACACAGAGAGAGACATCACACACAGAGAGACATCACACAAAGACAGATATCACAGAGAGAGAGACATCAAACACAGAGAGAGACATCACACACAGAGAGATACATCATGCACACAGAGAGACATCACACAGAGAGAGACATCACACACAGAGAGAGACATCACACACAGAGAGAGACATTACACACAGAGAGACATCACACAGAGAGAGACATCACACACAGAGAGACATCACACAGAAAGAGACATCACACACACAGACAGACATCACACACAGAGAGAGAGACATCAAACACAGAGAGACATCACACACAGAGAGACATCACACAGAGAGAGACATCACACACACAGAGAGACATCACACACAGAGAGACATCACACAGAGAGAGACATCACAAACACAGACAGATATCACACAGAGAGAGAGACATCAAACACAGAGAGAGACATCACACACAGAGAGACATCACACACAGAGAGATACATCATGCACACAGAGAGACATCACACAGAGAGAGACATCACACACAGGGAGAGACATCACACAGAGAGAGACATCACACACAGTGAGACATCACAGACAAAGGGATGCATCACACACAGAGAGACATCACACACAAAGAGAGACAACACACACACAGAGACATCACACACACAGAGAAATCACACAGAGAGAAATCAAACACAGAGGGACATCACACACACAGAGACATCACACAGAGAGAGACATCACACACAGAGGGACATCACACACAGAGACATCACACACACAGAGACATAACACACAGAGACATCACACAGAGAGAGACATCACACAGAGAGACATCACACACAGAGAGACATCACACACAGCGAGACATCACACACAGAGAGAGACAACACACAGAGACATCACACACACAGAGACATCACACACACAGAGACTTTACACACAGAGAGAGACATCACACACAGAGAGAGACATCACACACAGAGGGACATCACACACACAGAGACATCACACACAGAAAGACATCATACACAGAGAGACATCACACACAGAGGGACATCACACACAGAGAGACATCACACACACAGACATCACACACACAGAGAGACATCACACACAGAGACATCACACACAGAAGGACATCACACAGAGAGACATCACACACACAGAGACATAACACACAGAGACACCACACACAGAGACATCACACACACAGAGACATCACACACACACACAGACATCACACACAGAGAGACATCACACATACAGAGCACAGCGAGAACGGCGAACTTCACGGAAGCAAATGCAAACAAGATGATCGGAGACGCGAACTCAGCAAGCCTTCAAAATATAATGCGGTGCAACCCAGTCGGCCAACAACACAGTTAAATATCGATTTAACATCCCACAGTAGCGGCCCGTTAAATGTCGGCCTTACAGTCCGTGGTGTTCTCCTATAACGCGGCTGTAGTCGTTGTCACGTTCCTGAAGACCACAACGCTATGGAACAATCGCATTATAATCAGTAATCTATAATTATAGGGGCTAATGCTCAGTTTAACACGTAGGCTTTCGCGACCAATATTATTCATAATAAAGGCTTTTTGGGGGGTTAGATCGCGTTTATTTATAAATGTGTCGTAATCCTCCACCACCCGACACGGCCAATCAGCAAAAAAAGTGTCACGTTGACAAAAAGACAAAATAGTTCAGTACTTTAGCCCACCGGTGTGTTGAAGAGTGAATCCACATTTACAGTTTGAGTAGCACGACGTTTCGCTGGTAAATACATAAATACATCCAGATGATGCTGGATGTATTTACCAGCAAACTGTAAATGTTGTGGATTCACTCTTCAACACACCGGTGAGCTAAAGTAGTGAATTATTTGTCTTTTGTCAACGTGACACTTTTTTTTTGCAGATTGGCCGCGTTGGGTGGTGGAGGGTTACGACACATTTATAAATAAACGCGATCTAACCCAAAAACCTTTATTATGGCTAATGCTCAGTCCGCGATGACACGCACGAGATGGTGATGATGATGATGCGTGACGCAGGGTCTGAACAAAGACTGGAGATCTTCTTTGGTTCTTTCGGTAAGGTCACGCAGAATGAGAATAAAATGATAAAATAAAATATAAGACAATAAGATTCTCACGACGTTTCGGCCACAGCGCAAGTAGCCTTCTTCAGGTGAAGGAACAAAACTGTCATGACGACAGAGCTTCAATGAGAGTTTTGTTCCTTCACCTGAAGGAAGGCTTCTTGTGCTGTGGCCGAAACGTCGTGAGAATTGTATTGTCTTACTTTATTATTTTATTATTTTATTCTCATTCTGCGCGACTTTACCGAAAGAACCAACGAAGACGAATCCTTGCAGTCACGAAAGCTTTAAATCGAAATTTAAAGACTGGAGACTTCGTGTTGGCGTAGCAGACGGTCTAAAGGCATCATCCAGCAGAGTTCCAATGCCTTGTCTGACGACGGTGATGATGCAACGCCCAGGTATCCGTCACAACCACCGCTCAATCCTACTCGATCGCGTTACAATGCATAATTAGAGGTGGTAAAAGCACAGCCCCCGATAGCGCGCGAGATGCTGGTGGTGCATAACGCAAGGACCTGACAAAAAAAAAACTGGAGGCGCATTTTGGGGTAGCGTCTAGAAGCATAATCCAGCAGTATCCCAATGCACTGTTCGATGATGATGACGATGATGATGGTGGTGGTGGTGAGCACCACGATGATCGATTCGGACGGCCACTTCGAATGGTACTTACACCCTACGGCGCCGATAACATTCGTCTGGCACGCGTCCATGCCCTCTGTGCAATTCACGGGGCCGTTCCCATTGCAGTTCTCATTGCTGGGCGCGGCGATGCACACGAAACATTGAAGGGCACGTGCTGTGTGTGTGTGCGGTCGTGGTAGAGAGAGGGGAAACAACATCGCTTGCTGTTAGTTTAACTTTCGGTTGGTTTCACATCAAGGGTGGTTTCTCAACATCTTTTGTTTTTTTTTAGGCGACTGGAAAACCCCCCAATGTTGTTGAACCGAGTGCATAGGAGATGTTGACTACCTCGCCCGGTCTACAGGAGGTTTCGTGGGGTTCGATCCCGGAGCCTGACGATGCCCGCTGCTGTATGTTTGAAGTCTGCGTGTCTCTCTCTCTCTCTCTCCACGTGGAGATGTTAACTACCTCGCCTGGTATACAGGAGCGCGTTGGTTCGATCCCGGACCCTGCCGACGCTTTTAAAAAACGTGAGTTGAGTTGAAATCTAGAATTGAGAATATTTGCCTGCGAGAAATGTCCACGCTGTAATTCCACGTGAAAATGGATGCGTGACTAATGGACATCAAAAGGGAACCCTGGCTTTATGATGATGATGATGGTGGTGGTGGTGGAGGCTCAGGTAGAAGCTTCATCCAGCAGTAGCTAGACCCTGGCTGATGATAACACTGAGAGACAGAGAGAGACAGAGAGCCACACGTGCTGAGAGACAGAGAGAGCGACACGTGGATAGAGAACACTCGCAGGGTACAGAGACATCGTCACTACACTGATCATCATCCAGCAGTGGATAGCGACCATTATGATGATGATTACACTGAGAGAGAGACACGGAGAGAGAGCTACACGTGGAGTAGAGAGACATCGTCACTACACTGATCATCATCCAGCAGTGGATAGCGACCACTGCTGGATGATGATGACACTGAGAGAGAGACACAGCGAGAGAGCAACACGTGGATAGAGAACACTCGCAGGGTACAGAGACATCGTCACTGATCATCATCCTGCAGTGGATAGCGACCACTGTGATGATGATGACACTGAGAGAGACACAGAGAGAGAGAGCAACACGCAGGGTACAGAGACATCGTCACTGCACTGATCATCATCCAGCAGTGGATAGCTACCACTATGATGATGCCACTGAGAGAGAGACACAGCAAGAGCTACACGCAGGGTACAGAGACATCGACGCTACACTGATCATCATCCAGCAGTGGATAGCGACCACTGTGATGATGATGATGATTACACTGAGAGAGACACACAGAGAGAGAGCTACACGTGGAGTAGAGAGACATCGTCACTACACTGATCATCATCCAGCAGTGGATAGCAACCACTGTGATGATGATGATGACACTGAGAGAGACACAGAGAGCAACACATGGAGTACAGAGACATCGTCACTGATCATCATCCAGCAGTGGATAGCGACCACTATGATGATGATGACACTGAGAGAGACACAGAGAGAGAGCAACACGTAGGGTACAGAGACATCGTCACTGCACTGATCATCATCCAGCAGTGGATAGCAACCACTGTGATGATGATGATGACACTGAGAGAGAGACACAGAGAGAGAACGACACGTGGAGTAGAGAGACATCGTCACTACACTGATCATCATCCTGCAGTGGATAGCGACCACTATGATGATAATAATGACACTGAGAGAGAGACACAGAGAGAGAACGACACGTGAAGTAGAGAGACATCGTCACTGCACTGATCATCATCCAGCAGTGGATAGCGACCACTGTGATGATGATGACACTGAGAGAGACACAGAGAGAGAACGACACGTGGAGTAGAGAGACATCGTCACTACACTGATCATCATCCAGCAGTGGATAGCGACCACTGTGATGATGATGCCACTGAGAGAGAGACACAGAGAGAGAACGACACGTGGAGTAGAGAGACATCGTCACTACACTGATCATCATCCAGCAGTGGATAGCGACCACTGTGATGATGATGACACTGAGAGAGACACAGAGAGAGAACGACACGTGGATAGAGAACACTCTCGGGGTACAGAGACATCGTCACTACACTGATCATCATCCAGCAGTGGATAGCGACCACTGTGATGATGATGCCACTGAGAGAGAGACACAGCGAGAGCAACACGCAGGGTACAGAGACATCGTCACTGCACTGATCATCATCCAGCAGTGGATAGCAACCACTATGATGATGATTACACTGAGAGAGAGAGACACAGAGAGAGAGAGAGCGACACGTGGATAGAGAACACTCGCAGGGTACAGAGACATCGTCACTGCACTGATCATCATCCAGCAGTGGATAGCGACCACTGTGATGATGATGACACTGAGAGAGAGACAGAGAGAGAGAGCAACACGCAGGGTACAGAGACATCGTCACTGCACTGATCATCATCCAGCAGTGGATAGCGACTACTATGATGATGATAATGACACTGAGAGAGACACACAGAGAGAGAGCGACACGTGGAGTAGAGAGACATCGTCACTGCACTGATCATCATCCAGCAGTGGATAGCGACCACTGCTGGATGATAATGACACTGAGAGAGAGAGACACAGAGAGAGCAACACGTGGATAGAGAACACTCTCGGGGTACAGAGACATCGTCACTACACTGATCATCATCCAGCAGTGGATAGCGACTACTGTGATGATGATGATGACACTGAGAGAGAGACAGAGAGAGAGAGAGCGACACGTGGATAGAGAACACTCGCAGGGTACAGAGACATCGTCACTACACTAATCATCATCCAGCAGTGGATAGCGACCACTGTGATGATGATGATGACACTGAGAGAGAGACACAGAGAGAGAACGACACGTGGAGTAGAGAGACATCGTCACTACACTAATCATCATCCAGCAGTGGATAGCGACCACTGTGATGATGATGATGACACTGAGAGAGAGACACAGAGAGAGAACGACACGTGGATAGAGAACACTCGCAGGATACAGAGACATCGTCACTACACTGATCATCATCCAGCAGTGGATAGCGACCACTGTGATGATGATGACACTGAGAGAGAGACACAGAGAGAGAGAGAACGACACGTGGAGTAGAGAGACATCGTCACTGCACTGATCATCATCCAGCAGTGGATAGCGACCACTGTGATGATGATGATGACACTGAGAGAGACAGAGAGAGAGAGAGAGCTACACGTGGAGTAGAGAACACTCGCAGGGTACAGAGACATCGTCACTACACTGATCATCATCCAGCAGTGGATAGCGACCACTGTGATGATGATGACACTGAGAGAGAGACACAGAGAGAGAACGACACGTGGAGTAGAGAGACATCGTCACTGCACTGATCATCATCCAGCAGTGGATAGCGACCACTGTGATGATGATGACACTGAGAGAGACACACAGAGAGAGAGCGACACGTGGAGTAGAGAGACATCGTCACTACACTGATCATCATCCAGCAGTGGATAGCGACCACTGTGATGATGATGACACTGAGAGACACACAGAGAGAGCAACACGTGGAGTACAGAGACATCGTCACTGATCATCATCCAGCAGTGGATAGCGACCACTGTGATGATGATGACACTGAGAGAGACACAGAGAGAGCGACACGTGGAGTATAGAACACTTGCAGGGTACAGAGACACCGTCACTGCACTGATCATCATCCAGCAGTCTGATGATGATGATGATGAGGACGCTTGGTACCTGTCGTTACGGTAGCAGACATCGTGACGATCAGAACGAGCAGGCGAGTTGAGAAATTCATGTCCTTTTTTTTTAATCAAGCCCCCTATTTTCGGCCGTTTGAGAGAATATTTTATCGGTTTTTTTTGGGGGGGTGGAGCGGGGGGGAGGAGGGGGGTTGTTTAAACCCTGAGCGGAATGTGTGTGTGCGTCAGCGAAGAGACCTCAGCGCTCGACTGAACGACCCTCGCGAAGGTGGCTTGAGGTTGGGTCTCTTTTGTGGAGCACACGCGGCTAAAGCCGACGTGAAGTAAAAGTGGACACTCTGGGGTGGGCGTGTCCTTGCCCATATATGGTAGCATGGCGCCAAAAGTGGGGGGCGTGGTTTGGGTTTTGACGGATCGCTTATTTATTGGAGACACTTTCAGCATACCTGCCAATCCCCTTGCCAGCGCCTACCTTATTACAGACCTTGTCACGCCTTATTGGTCAACCCGTGCCCTTGTAAATCTCAACGTTCATCCTACAAAGTCCCATCACAAGGAAGAAAGACAAACAAATAGACACATTTCTGTTGCTCACACTGAAATATCTGTACGCTTTATGGACCTAAAAACTCAATTTCTCCTGTTCAAGAAAATGGGGTAAACCGTGTGGTTTGACAGGCATGAGTGTGCAGTAGCGTACGGTATAGTGTAAAGTAGTGTATAGTGTAGTGTAGCGTATATCAGCGTAGTGTTTAGTAGCGTACAGTGCCGGCCTTCATAGGTGCTCGCTAACAACACTTGCTCCCAGCAGTATGTTAAGGCTATCACGTGGGTAGGTAGTGCCGCTCTCTAACCACTACACTACCTGCTCACGTGCGCGCACGCACGCACACACACACACGCACGCGCTCGCGAAGTCATAGATAGGCTCACAACATAGACAATGACAAACGTAATGGCGGTCAGTACAGATGTTTAATTTTAATCCAGAGTTGAGGAAAGTTTGTTGCACAGAGCACAACCCGACCCAGGGTCACGTTTGGATCTATCCAGGACCCAACAACCTTTGTCCATCAAACTCGCAACCGCCCGGTGCGTCCGTCGCCGTCCTCGTTCAACCAATCAGAGCCGCAGAGAGGCAATTGCGCAATCAGATGATTCTTTGCGGGGCACACAACCCACGGGAGTTCGTCATCGTCCGCCATTTTTTTTGTTCATGTTGTGGCGGCCATTTTATTGGGAGGGAGCCCCGCCCACCGCCCACCCCCCAACCCAAAGTCCCACCTGCCAAACAGGTCTTAATTGATTGTTCACGCTTACAGTGGCTTTCAGACAGCATACATTATAAAAATTTGGTCTCCCCTCTCCTCTTTTCAGAATATAGATGGACTAGTCCTAAATAAACTGCCAAATCGTTGCGCGTGGCGCTAACGTTTTTTATAAATAAATAAATGCGCCGTTTAAAAATAAATGTATGCAAACCAACACACCTGAAGACGACCGTTTGAGTTATGGTCGAAACGTCGTGAGAATTTTTATTGTTTTATATGTATTTTATTATTTTGTTGTTTCCCTTCAACGTGACTTTACCGAAAAAACTAAGAATAAGTAGGAGGGCTTTTCGATTTAAAGCTTTCGTGACTGCAATGATTCATCTTCTTTGGTTCTTTCGGATAAAGTCACGTAGGATGAGAATAAAATAATAAATTGATAAAATAAAATAACACAATAATATTCTCACGACGTTTCGGCCACAACACAAGCAGCCTTCATCAGGAGGCAGTCTCGTCCCTTCAGTCTCGTCCCTTCACCTGATGAAGGCCGCTTGTGTTGTGGCCGAAACGTCGTAAGAATATTATTGGCGTTATTTTATTTTATCGATTTATTATTTTATTCTCATTCTACGTGGTGGTGACTTTACCGAAAGAACCAAAGAAGTAAGGGGGGCTTTTGGAGGGCAGGGGGCTTGGTGTAAACGCACGGCAAAAGCCAACCGAAACGACAAAATGGCACGCCCGTCAAACCCTTGTCAGTGCCTGCCTCATTACAGGCCAATTCGGACCTCGTTTTTAACCCTTGCCCTTATAAATCGCAACGTTCACCCTACAAATTCTAATCGCGAGGGACAAACACAAACAAAACAGAGACGAAGATAAAAAGAAATGTGCCCGGGTTGAAATGGCTGTACACGGTATATGAACCTCGAAAACCTAAATTCACGTGCACAAGGTGACGGGTAAATCGTATGGTTTCACAGGAATCAATTGATGCAACTGCCACCGTCGTGACTTCCGTGTACTGCTATCATCTGGATAAATACTCTGTACTCACGGGAGAGCTAAATAACGATAAACATACACTCGGTGCCGGGTCGGGGTGGGTAAGGGCACGCGTAAAACACACGCGGGGAGATGCCTTTGGGAGGGCTTCTCGCAGGCGAAGAGGAGGCCAAAATGGCTCCACTGCCCAACTCTGAGGCTTCAAAGTGGCCTCCGTGTTAAAATAACACGCCAGTGATCACGTTAACGAAGGCAAAAAAAAAAGGGGTTAATGGACTCTCCGTAAAAATGTTGCGATGCCAGATGCGTTCGTATATATATATGCAAATATGTTCATCTATCCATAAACCAAACTCCTATCGGGGTGTTGCACCCATCCCTTGCGTCGAGTTTAGTTTAGTTGTCCTTCTCCCCCCCCCCCCCCCCCCCCGATTAGCGTGCTTGGCTACGTACGGTGCATAAGAAGTTCAACATACACACATACACGTACGTATGTTACAATCCCACCTGACTATTTGAATTGAGCCCGGCCGCCGCAGTTTTTGTTACTGACAGTCGATCCCTAACGCCCTGTTACGATTTGCTGTTTCATTAACGCATCACACAGCGTTCATCACGGAGTCATATTTTTAGCAGACCGATCGCAGAAACCCCCCACCACCACCACCACCACCCGTGCTCCCACCAGCACCAGTTTTATGTTTCCTTTAAACCCAGGGTTCTTTTAAAATATCTTCATTATATCTATTTGTTTCACTCATACTGATTTGTTAGTTTCCTTCTTCTTCTTCTCCTCCCCGGTCACGTGAATCCATCGTTGGTTTTTTTTTATTTTTCTTAAATGCTAAGAAGTTCGAAGACAAGCTTTAAGGACCGCCGCCGGCAAGCTCGCTCGCTCGCTCGCTCATTCGCACACTCGCGCAATCACTCACTCATTCACACGCACACTCACTCACACTCAAGGGTCTGATTCGCGTCTTTTGCAGGAAGTTGGCGTGGGATGATGGAGAGGAGTGGGGGGGGAGGGATTAGGAATTTCACGAATGGCTGAGTGATACCATCTTGCCGACGATGAGAATTTCATAGTCAACACTTGGGTAGTTAGACTGGATGGATTTAGGCGGGTGAACTGAACTCACACTTTGCAATGCGCCAGATTGCAACGGCGAGTAACTTGAATTATATTTGGCGACACGTACACGCATACTCACGCACGCGCATGTCCACGTGCGCGCGTGGTGCATGATGCATCGCGACGCACCGTGGCGTCCAGAGTGCACCTAGCCTGGCGCAAGCTACAATCTCATCGCCGTTAGATCGCGAACCGACACATAAAAATTCAACGCTTCCGGCAGGAATGGGTCGACTCCCGAGGCTGAGCTGTGACTTTGCAAAGGCGACGGGGCTCGTGGATTTGAAAACGTTGATCTAATGAGGAGCGCTTGACGAGCTAGGGGGTAGGTGGGTGGGTGGGTGGGTGAGCGGGCGAGCGAGCGGGCGAGCGGGTCAGGAGCGGGGCTGCTCTGGGGGGCTGAGCGTGTGGTGAACCCACGCCCCCCTTCAGGGTGGCGGCGGTTGGCGGCGGCGGGTCTGCCAGTCCGTGAGGTTCTTCGTCGAGCCCCCTCTTCGCCAGAGTCCTGAGTCACTTCCAGAGGTAGCACCTCCTGCCGAAGTGGCTGCAGACAGGATTGACGCAGGGCTGGGCACACATCGCAGAGCGTTAGCGGGTTGCACTCGACGGTGTCGGCGTCATTCGTTGTCGTCGTTAAGAATCAAACTCGTGGCCACGCGGAGATTGGACCTGAAATTTTCATGAAAACCAAACCGGCATAAACCGCCATCACGCAAACTCCAGTCGTCGTCGCAGCGCCGGCAGGCTTATTGGCTAGCCGTCAAACAAAGACGGCCACCGTATCCACGCGCTTTCATAGACTTTGCACAATACACTCTACGGTTCACTGTACGCCACGCTTTCGGCTAAACGTCGAACAAAGGTAGTCGCCGCATCACACACGCGCTTTCAAACGTGCTTCTGCGGCCGTTTGGGAAGCCCCTCCTTACGAGTTTAGGAAGCCACTGGGAGTTATGCACCTTTAAATCTAAATTTAAAAAACCTCATCGTTTTAGCACTTATTTTTGTATTGGTCTCTGGGTGGGTGTATGGATCTCTGGATAGGTGTATGGGTCGCTGGGTAAGTGTATGGGTCTCTGGATAAGTGTATGGACCTCTCGGTAAGTGTTATGAGTCTCTAGGTTAGTGTATGGGTATCTGCGCGAGCCTATGGTGTCTCTGCAAGTGTCACTTACCGGCCACAACAACCTAGACAACGGGCGCGAATGGGGCACCTGCATACACGGCACCTGCACCCACCACCACCACCACAGGAAAAGGTGAAGATGACACAAAGATTCACTCAATTGCGCATGTAACAATTATTCACCACGACACACTGCCCTGAGGCTATTTTTGTATAGCCAGCCCCACCCACATCTGCCACTGGCCCCGCCTACCTCTGTCACTGGCCCCGCCTACCTCGGTCACTGGCCCCGCCTACCTATGTCACTGGCCCCGCCCCACTTAGCCGCTAGCCCCACCAACCGTGTGTAGAGACAGTGCGTGGACTAGCGGCCACGAGTGGTAATACAGTCAGTCAGCAAATATAGTCAGGAGTCGTTATGTCCTCAAAGTCGTAACTGTGAGATCGAGTCGATGCTGGGAAGAGATTGAGAATTAAAAAAAAAAAACAGAAACCCTCTCCAGTCCGTGCCTCCAAAGTCATTCCACATGTAAGGAAGGAGTGGAACCTAACCCTGTGTGTGTGTGCACGCGTCCTATGCTCACCGGGCAGGAAATGGGGGGCGGCCAGAGCAGCCACGGGGTGTGCTACACAGACAACAACGGGAGACGGAACCCCATGACATCACAGCTCAACGCAGACAAATATCCCCCCCGCCCCCCCGCCCCCGTATAGCCTCTTAACAGACTGTTGGGGCGAGCGCTGTTAGTAGCGGGCAATAGCAGCGCCTATGAAGGCAGGCACTGTGCCAGACGAGGTGGATGGCCAGCACCACGCCTGCCTGGCCGCCTGCCTGTTTCCCCAGAAGGTGATGTTTTACTACACATCTCACTGCACCAGGTCCTCACTTGAGGCTGAGTTGACCTATGGAAGGCCCAGTACTATTATTGGCCATGAGTGGGAATCGAACTCAGGTCGCCGAACATAGCACCAACCGTAGCACTAACCGCAGCACTAACCTCTATGCCACCGCCACATATGCACACACACACACTCTCCACGGCAGGGCGTCTTAAACATAGACAATACTCGTAAGATTTGTCCTAATTTCCGGAAAGTTCCGACTGCAGCCAGATCGGAAATGTCCGAAGAGAAAAATGGATTGCAGGTAAGAGTAACGGGCTGACCTCGCCGAACGCCGGGTGGTTATGTTCCGAGGAAATGCCATGTTCGGCAAAAAACCTCGTTCGAACAAACATAGTGCGTTTTAACACGTAGGCTTTCGCGACCAATATTATTCATAATAAAGGTTTTTGGGTTAGATCGCGTTTATTTACAAATGTGTCGTAACCCTCCACCACCCGACACGGCCAATCAGCAAAAAAAGTGTCACGTTGACAAAAGACAAATAATTCACTAGGGCTTTACCATTCTGGCAAATTGCCTGATGATGCTGGATGTATTTACCAGCGAAACGTCGTACTCAAACTGTAAATGTGGATTCACTCTTCAACACACCGGTGGGCTAAAGTAGTGAATTATTTGTCTTTTGTCAACGTGACACTTTTTGTTGCTGATTGGCCGTGTCGGGTGGTGGAGGGTTACGACACATTTATAAATAAACGCGATCTAACCCAAAAACCTTTATTATGAATAGTGCGTTTTCATAGCGCGTTTCGGATATGCAACGCGATGAATGTATTCGGGGACGCATCGATTCATAACTCGGATGCGAATTGGATGTAACGTGATCGAATCAATGGAACGACATCGTTGACTCGACCGTGTTTATTTACCTCACCTGAGGAAGGCAGCCTTGTGCTGTGGCCGAAACGTCGTGAGAATTTTATTGTCTTATTTTATTTCATTATTTTATTCTCATTCTACGTGGTGACTTTAACCGAAAGAACCAAAGAACATGAATCCTTGCAGTCACGAAAGCTTCAAATCGAAACACACTCCATAGCTCTGTGGACGCGGGAGCGCTTTTTTTATGCGGGCGGGCGTTTGCCGGGGGTAAAGAGAAGCCCTCACCCAGTTTGCTGTTGACCACGTGTGGAGCCACGACGCCGGCGCCGAGGCCCAGGGGGTAGCCGAGCCCGCCGAGGGCTACAAACAACACACACACACACACACAGCAGGGTGGAGGTTAAAGGTCAAAACAACTCACCTACGACCCACGCTCCCGCAAAACACAGTCACACACAGACACCCGCGCACGTGGGTTTACGATGGATAATCGATATGCCAAATGGCATTTGGTAATCAAAAGATTGCCCAGGGTCCTTTCGACCCTGTTGGGAGTGACCATCAGCTGAATACTGAAGGCTCCTCTGTCATCAGTATTCAGCAGGTCATCTAGGATCCCACCACGCTGTTGAAAGTGCCATCGGACTACTTCAGGCTCCTCTGCCTTCAGTAATCAACAGCTTGCCCAGGATTCCACTGCCATGTTGCAAACGCTATTGGCCAATTTGAGTTTCGTTTGTTTTCAGTGATCAACCTTCTACGCCCATCACCCGCTCTCCTAACCTCTCCCCTCTTACCTCATTCTAGTCCCCCTCTATGTACTCCCGGCTCCATGAACCAAGGCTTGCCATCGAAGCCCACAAGTTAACCGTCACTCGGTGGGAAGTCGCCCATTTTGCGCTAATGCTCCTGCTGCCCGCAATCTCTGGAACTCCTTTAAAGTATTGATTTAAAGCTTTCGCGACTGCAGGGATTCATATTCTTGGTTCTTTCGGTAAAGTCACCACGTAGAAGGGAAACAATAAAATAATAAAAAATAAAATAATAATAACAATAAAAATGTTATTGTTTCCCTTCTACGTGACTTTACCGAAAGAACCAAGAATATGAATCCTTTCCTTTAGTTCAGTCATCCGTGCTGTTGACTTCCCTGTTCCCCATGAATTCAAGTCCAGGCCCAACACGTATAGTGCCACATAGCTTTGGCAGTTGTTGGTTGAACGCTGTGTTAACCAGTTCGCACCTGCTGGTTCTATCTTCGGGGGAATGCTATGGGTCTTCTTTCCCACACGTTAAAAAAAAAAACAACTCGTGAATGGAATTGGCCAAGCACCCCCACCCACGGGAGCGCAGAGCTTGGGCAACCGTTGGCTGCAGGTTTGCAGCCGCCTTTCCGCTCGTCTTGTGACTTAAACAAACTAGCAACAACATTACAGGTGCTCACAGCTAACAGTTGCAGCGACGCGTTACAATTTGCTGCCGATCGAGCCGTGTTGTTACCGGTCAGGGTAATAGCGATAATGACAAGATCATTATCACTATTGTGGTCAACGCAAATCATCATCGACACCAGGTATCATTATTCGTGCGCGTGCCCCATTGCTGTTGCTGTAACCTTGGACAAAATACCGGTCACGTGCCATTGTAAAGCAACAGCAGTGGTTGGGGAAAGTAATGATATCGATGATGATCGGAGACGGCCGTTAAGTACTTTGTTAAACCCCTCCCCTCCACCAACACTTCAGCCGTAACCAATTCAAACGGTGACTTGACAATAATTGATGATGATTTAAAGCTTTCGTGACTGCAGTAATTCATATTCTTAGTTCTTTCGGTAAAGTCACGTTGCGTTACGGTCGAAACGTCGTGAGAATTTTTTTATTGTTTTATATATATTATTATTTTGTTGTTTCCCTTCAACGTGACTTTACCGAAAGAACTAAGAATATATAATTGATGATGTTGTTGTTGCTAGCGACTCGCGTTTGTCTTTGTCCTGTCGTCGTGGCGGTGGTGGTGGTGGATTTAAATGTTGAATAAAAACATTTAGAAAGGGGAGCACATGCAAGCTCATGCACATGCAGCATACCCACCATGGTGGTAGGGGGTCCCATAGTATCCGAGCCCGCCGTATGGGTGGACGAGTCCAGCTGCTAGGGAGAGAGGGGGGGGTGGAGGTTCGACTTGAGATTGCCGACGGATTTTTTTTTACACACAGCGTTGGTGGTTTACACGGTGGTGCTTTTTTCAGGAATATTTTTGCTGGTTTTATTTTTTCCCATGGATTTTCTGTTTGCACAGTCACACACACACACAGTAGTCACTTTAAGATGTTTTTTTTTCTTTTGATTTAAAGCTTTCGTGACTGCAGTAATTCATATTCTTAGTTTTTTCGGTAAAGTCAAAAGAATAAAATATATTTTCATTATTTTGTTGTTTCCCTTCAACGTGACTTTACCGAAAAAACTAAGGATATGTTTTTTCTTGTTTTTGTTTTTTTTTGGTTTGTTGTGGTTGTACCCCGATTCAAGAGCCGAATGGCTCACAGGGCTCTAACCAAAATAAACTGAACTGAACTGTTGCGGTGGCTAGGATAGGAAATGTTATAACTACCTCTCCTTGTATACAGAGGGGGTTTCGTGGGTTCAATTCCGTTGCTGACAATGCCTGCTGTTGTATATATTTGGAGTGTTTGTGCTTTTCCCGTGGTGATCACGTGGCACTCTTCACTGGGTCCTCCCGCCGTATTTTTTCAACCTCCACGTTTTAGAGATATGCGCTTAGAGTCGATTTGCCTGCTATAAATTTCAGCGTGATAAGCCGCTTCGTTGGGGTTATCATTTGCACATCGCCGCCAGGTTCCTCCTGAAAAAAATTGCTACATAGCTCAGTGGGCACCTTACCTGACAAAAATAACAAAAATTTAATAATGACAAAGAGCTAATGGCTCCTATCAAACCGCTCTGCTTTGACTGGCACAGTCACAACGGTTGTTCATGTTCCCACGAAATGTGGATTTTCGGCAAAAGGTAAAAAAATATATATTATTCCCCTCGTGCTCAACTCCTCTTCTGGCCAGGGGAGGATCTACCTGAGCAGTGGGCGGAGCCGGAAGAGTAATGGGTGGGGCTTATCATCAGTGGGCGGTCGAGTGGGCGTGGCTACGTGAAGTGGGCAGGCGCTCACGTTCTTTAAGGGAGCAGCTTAACCTAACCGGCTCGGTGGTTTCGCACGTACGTGTGTGTGTGTGTACGTTGAACTTTTTTTTTGGCACCGTACGTAGTCAACCACGCTAATCAGAGGCGCGGGGGTGAGGTGCGGGTGGGGTGGAGGGCAAGGACTACGTCATAGAGCTGAGGAGTTCGCAGTAATCAGGTTCGAGAGGTCAAATCTTTGTAGAGTTGGGGGGGGTGGGGTCGGGCACGGTCGGTTAACTGAGCCCATCGTTCCTCTCCCTCCAGAACGGCTAAAACAAGTGCACCTAAAGAACAGCGCCGGGTTATGCTAGAAGCAACAGTAGCAAACGCTACGGGCCCCGTACTTTCAAGGGCCCCCGCGCGCTAAAACGCTTTCAAGCTATCAATTCCGGTTCGGTGATTCTGCACTTGCTATATTTCCATAGTACTATACCGCCTTCAACTTTTACGAACGGCTGTGCGTTTAATGATAATAATAATAATGCAATTCATAGCGCGCGCAAATTAGCGGACGTAACGACCGCGACCCAGAGGCGTGGAGCCGAGCTCAGAGTCTCTCGAAAGCGCGGTTGTAGTGGTGAGTTCTTAAAGTGTCTCTTGAAGGAGACGATTGAGGCGATGCTGCCAATGTGCCAGAGGGATTGCGCTCCAGACTGTTGGGGCAGCCACCGAGAAGCGGCGCATAGGCGTGACCATCCCGGATTTTGGTAGCGATTTGTCATAATATCTGGCTGTACAGCAAATGAAAAAATACAATTACTTTACTATGCAAGTTAAACATTTGGGTTTTAATATTTACGTGATCCCTTTACAACATATGCTAACAGGCCCCGCACTCGTTTAATCCGGCACAGCTAACGGGGGAAGATCAACAGTGGTTTGTGGTATGCATGGACTGAGCCCATCCAGCCATAGGAACAGACGTGGAATTTCCAATGCTCATTTAATCACACTGGTTTTTTTTTTTTTGCGCGTGTGTGATTGGTTCAGTGTGCGGCCGAGTCGGGGAAAGCGCCGTTAGCGAGCGCTTGCGACAGCCGGCACGGCACGTGAAGGGGGTGGGTGGACAGGAACGTGCCCCAACAGTCTGTTACAGGCCACACGGGGGATAGTTGAACCTGGTGGCGGTAGCCCGGGGTCCCATAAGCCCCCCCCCCCCCCCCGGGGCTCTCGAATCAACTGCGTTGCGACGTCATTTCATGCCTGTCGAAGGCGAACGACACGGCGATCTGTTCCCCTTGACAACCTCTACACGATGCGCTAATCAAAAAATTCAAAAGTTTTTGTATCCACTGGGCATTCGTCCTCGCTGCTGTGCTTTGGACGACACGGCGAACAGAGTGATCGCCGCGCCAGGCGGGTCGAGGCTTTTATGCGCGCGGTGGGACGGAGTCGCCAAAAGTAAATTTAAGAAAAAATCATCACGATTTTTGATTTCCGTTTATTCCGAGACCCCCCTGGGGTCCTGCCATGAAGGTTTCTTTTTATTTTTGCCTAGTGGACGGGGAAGGATCTCTCACCTGCACGGTGCTTGAAGGTCCCTGCAATTGCCACTCCGGGATACCCTAGACCACCATAGCCTAGACCACCGTAGCCCAGGCCTCCTGTGAGAGAGATAGAATAGAGAGTGTGCGGTGTCAGGTTCAATCCGCTGCTGGATGGAGTTCTCCCCCCCACCCGCTACGTAGGCCTTGTTGCGGTGGCCTGGTTTAAGTTCTCGGCAAGTCCTCGCTTCAAGCGTGGTGTGCGCCGAACATAACGCCTCTTTTCAGCAGTCACTGACGAACTGCCTGACGCCTTCAAACAGGCGTCGATCCCGTATTTGAACAGCCTAACACCACCTGCATTATTGTCGGAAAAGAGTAAAGCCGATTCTTCATTCGTCATTTGGATACCGGAGAAAAGGGGTCCCGTAGACATGACAGGTGAGTATCGTCAGCCTTCCCACCCCCCACCAATGGTACAGTTCACAGTACAGCAACAGTGTTAGCGGCTTTTGATCTAAAGCTTTCGTGACTGCAGGGATTCATATTCTTGGTTCTTTCGGTAAAGTCACCACCACGTAGAAGGGAAACAATGAACATAGATGGACTCGTCCATCTGAATAACTGCCAAATCGCTCTCCGTGGTGCTAACGTTAAAAAAAAAACGCCACGTTTTTCAAATTTTCTTGCTGTGGTTTTCACACCTGACGATGATTGCTTGTGTTGCAGTCGAAACGTCGTGAGAATTTTATTGTTTTTTTATATTTTTATTATTTCATTGTTTCCCTTCTACGTGAATTTACCGAAAGAACCAAGGATATACAGTGTTAGCGGCTGACAGCAACCGTACGTAGCCAACCGTAGCCCATCGGAGGTGCGGGGGAAGGACAATAAACTAAATACGACGAACAGTTCTGAGAGATTAGTTTGTCAATCTAGATGATTATTTAAAAGTTGCACAGCACCAGTAGCTTCCTAATATCGGAAGAACGTTCCAGACGGATGCTAAAGCGCATCTGAAAGCACCGCGCGGCGATGCAGCAACCGCTATCTTTCTGATTTAAAGCTTTCTTTGACTGCGTGGATTCGTCTTCTTGGTCCTTTCGGTAAAGTCACCACGTAGAAGGGAAATAATGAAACAATAAAAATAAAACGTAATAAGATAAAATTATCACGACGTTTCAGGAGCAGAAACAGAACTGTCGCGAAGGCGGTTCTCTTTCCCGACAGTTCTGCTTCTTCACCTGAAGACGGCTGCTTGTGTTGTGGCCGAAACAGTCGTGATAATTTTACTTCATTATGTGTTTATTATTTTATTATTTCCCTTCTACGTGACTTTACCGAAAGAACCAAGAAGAAGAGCACTATCTTTCTTTGACGGTTAGCCAAAAGCCGCCGCTGCAAGAATGATCAGAGTTCGCGGAATGGTGGTGTTTTTTAGCTACTTGACGAGATCCGAAGCGAGGTATCGTGGTTCCCTTGGTGGCAAGCACTTTGTTGCGCAATGAGTACGACGTTGCGAATGTATTTGTTCGTAAAAACCGGAAGCCAAGGCATCTCGGTGAGCACTGGACACTTGATTGGTCAGACCGATGTGAGTGAGATGTGCCGATGACTCACCCACTATAAGATGTCCACGGGTCATTGAAGAGACATGGGGAGGTAGGGAGACACATTGATGAGGAATGTGAGTGCGTGAGTGAGAATGCGAGCAAGGGGAACGTATGCGTGAGTATATGTGTGCGCGCGTGTGTGTGTGTGAGTTGTGGGGAGTGATAGTGTAGCGGTTAGCGCTACGCTGCGCTATGAACCCGGCGACCCGGGTTCGATTCCCACTCACGGCCAACACCAGTGACGATTATCTGAACCGGTCCTGGGCCTCCCCTAGGTCGACTCAGCCTGAAATGAGTACCTGGCGCGGTGTGTAGTAAACATCGCCACTGGGGAAGACAAAGGCGGTCGGGCGTGGTGCTGGCCACCCACCACCCTCGTGTACCGTTACCGGCCTTCATAGGTGCTGCTCGTTAACAGCACTTGCCCCTACAGTCTGTTGAGGCTATACGGGGGGGGATCTTTGTGTGTTTGAGTTGTAGGGGTAGAGGGAAAGACAGACATCGGGCAGTGGAGTAGGGAGGATAATTATTGAAGGGGCATCACATAGAACGTGCCATCACAGGAGCGGCAAAGAACAATGAATATCTCCCGTGCTGCGCTTATTAATGCATTGGACTTTCGATTATCCGCGTGCGGTTTATCCGATTTGCGGATTAACCGCTCACCTGAGGATTTGACGTAAATGAACAAATCGTGGATTGGTCCCATAAGCCCAAATTAATAACGTAAAAAAAGCTGTTTACAAATTGTTATTCTTGTAAATGTGGATTACAAGTGGCGTGCTTAAACCAAACAAATATGTTGCTCTGGTTAATCTGAAATCTACCCGATCGCCTTCCTCTGCAGTAAAGTAATTGCAAAATATATTCTTAGTTTTTTCGGTAAAGTCACGTTGAAGGGAAACAGCAACTCAAACCGTTTGAGTTATGGTCGAAACGTCGTGAGAAAATTTTTTATTGTTTTATATATATATTTTATTATTTTGTTGTTTCCCTTCAACGTGGTGACTTTACCGAAAAAACTAAGAATATGAATTACTGCAGTCACGAAAGCTTTAAATCAAAATTTAATTGCAATATATTTACAGCAGTGAGGCGGAGTTTGATTGATGTTAATTGGCTGTGGCTCTGCTATCATCCAGTAAGTGGGCCGAGTCTTCTGCTGGGCGGGAGAAGCAAAGTTTGATTATCACTGAACACGCGGATCATTGATCGGTCGATCGTTAGTGTTCGTTCTGAAATCGAAAGAGTAGCAATCAAAATCGTCAGTTGTGCTTAATTTTGAGTGATTTGTCCGACCATTTCTGTCGTGAGTTTTAATTGATGCAACTGTGTGCGATGGCAGTGAAACGGAAGTGTGTTGATTTAACTTTAAATTAAAAAAAACTGGATATTATACGGAAATTACCACGCGTTTTTTTTTTTAATCAACATTCAATTTTCTAAAAATTTTAATGTCATTTATACCGCTTTATATTCGTGGTTTTTGGCATAGAGATCCGCGAGAAATGGTCATTGATTTTGATTATCCGCAAATCTTTAATTATCCATGGCCACCCTCCTCGTCAATAGCGCGTGTACAATTGGCTCTCACGGGTACTATTTGGATCTTTGTTTTTTTTAACAGATTTGGAAGCTGCCGCATTTGTGCATAGGACAGAGGGTGGGAACTCACAGATTTAATGAACTAGTGGCATAGCATAGCGGGGGTGCCTTGCCCCCTGGTGGCCAAAGCTACGAGTTAGGGGCACCGCCTTGACGACCCACCACAACGAGATTTGTTTAAAGCAACAGTGTGTCAAAACAACAACCGACAAACTTATTTAATAATAATAATATAATAATAATGCAATGCATAATAGAGGTTTTTGAGTTAGATCGCGTATATACATATTTAAATGTGCCGTTAAAACCCGCCATCCACCCGACACAGCCAACCGGTAATGGTTGTCACGTAAACAGAACGTGGCCAATTCGTCACTAGTACAGCACTAACCGGTGTGTTGGAGAGCCAAGCCACAACATTTGCAAACTGAGTACGACGTTCCGCCAGTAATTACAACCAGCTTCATCACTCTTACTGTTTCGTTCCTTATATAGAGGCGTTGATGTGTGGGGCGGCGGGTGGGGGGGGGGTGGGAATCCCCCCACATTGTACAGGAGTGCAGAAGGGTGGTCAACACATCTCGTACATGGCCCAGAGGGCCCACCGTTTTTACCCGGATACAACACGAGCCAACAATAACCGTTTTGAATGAAAACAATTGTGATTTTTGACTCGCTAAATGCAATTTAAGTGAGTGTGCGGTGGTGAGTGAGTTGAACGTGGTGGTGGTGGTGGTGAGTGAGTTGAACGTGGTGGTGGTGGTGAGTGAGTTGAACGTGGTGGTGGTGGTGGTGAGTGAGTTGAACGTGGTGGTGGTGGTGGAGGTGGTAGTGGTGGTGGTTGTGGTGGTGGTGGTGGTGAGTGAGTTGAACGTGGTGGTGGTGGTGGAGGTGGTGGTGGTGGTGGATGTGGTGGTGGTGGTGGTGAGTGAGTTGAACGTGGTGGTGGTGGTGAGTGAGTTGAACGTGGTGGTGGTGGAGGTGGTGGAGGTGGTGGTTGTGGTGGTGGTGGTGGTTGTGGTGGTGGTGGTGGTGAGTGAGTTGAACGTGGTGGTGGTGGTGAGTGAGTTGAACGTGGTGGTGGTGGTGGTGGTAGTGGTGGTGGTGGTGAGTGAGTTGAACGTGGTGGTGGTGGTGGTGAGTGAGTTGAACGTGGTGGTGGTGGTGGCGGTGGTGGTGGTGGTGGAGGTGGTGGTGGTGGTTGTGGTGGTGGTGGTAGTGGTGGTGGTGAGTGAGTTGAACGTGGTGGTGGTGGTGAGTGAGTTGAACGTGGTGGTGGTGGTGGTGGTGAATGTAATGAACCTCACTCACCCAGAGGATGTCCCAGATATCCCGTATTGAAAGTGCTCACTTTCTGCTTACCAATGACAGCTGCAGTAAGGCAGAGTGACACGCGCGCAACACAAACAGACACACGGAGGCAAAATCAATCAATCCCTTAATAGCCTGCGTAGCTTTTACATTTCGATTTAAAGCTTTCGTGACTGCAAGGATTCATCTCCTTTGGTTCTTTCGGTAAAGTCACCACGTAGAATGAGAATATAATAATAATAATAATAAACATAAAACAATAAAATTCTCACGACGTTTCGGCCACAACACAAGTGGCCTTCTTCAGGTGAAAGGGACAGACCTGTTGGGACGACAGAGCTTCAATGAAAAAAAAAAGCCTACATAGCATTCTTGATTTGACGCTTTCGTCACTGCAGGAATCCATACTCTTTGGTTCTCTCGGTTAAAGTCACGTGGTAGGTATGAAATAAAACAAAACGAATCACGACTTTTTTCGGGGCGAAACACAAGTGTCCATCAAATTCAAGGATAATCACGCCTGATGATGGACGCTTGCGTTGCGCCCGAAACGTCGGGATTTATTTTGTTTTATTTTATACCGATGTAGAGGCGTTAACTACGCGCTGTTGCGTAACCTGCGTTGCCACCAGGGCGGTGCAGCATTACCCCTGGGTACAACGGTTGGGGTCAGTCGAGGTGAAACGGATCGTGGCCAGGGTTTGGTACGAACCAATCAGACGGTTCCACGTGGGAATGCATGATTGGTTCTACCTGGCCACGAAGGGGTATAAGACGGGTGACCCAACGGACCTCGGGGTAGTTCTCTCCCTGCACGAAGACAGAAGACTGGGCCGAAGCCTAGCTAGGACCCTGGATCCAGCCTCCCAGCCCTTCTAAGGGCTAAGGCTCGGCATACCCAGTGGTCAGGACCCACCGGGGCCAGCGGTGGGTCAGATAGCCTCCCCTAGGTCCTAGCCGGAGGACTCTAGGATAGCGGTAGACGTGTGAGTCCCGCCAAGTCCGGAGGCTGTGTACCTCCTTAGGTATCAAGGAGGTTAGCGGTAGACGTGTTAGTGAGTCCCGCCAGGTCCGGAGTATGTGTACCTCCCTAGGAATCAAGGAGGTTAGCGGTAGACGTGTGAGTCCATCCAAGTCCGGAGGCTGTGTACCTCCTTAGGTATCAAGGAGGTTAGCGGTAGACGTGTGAGTCCCTCCAGGTCCGGAGGCTGTACCTCCCTAGGGTATCGGGTGAGGGAACCGAATATCCCTCTGTGTGGTGTGTTAAGCGTTGTATAAGGAAACAATACAATAAACAGAGTGTGCCTCCTAAAGAAGTCTGCTCGTCCTTACAACACTACACACTACATAGCATGTCAAGTCGAGTGCTGTTAGCAAGTAGCAGCGCCTATGAAGGCCGGCACAGCGCGCAGCCGCCTTTGTAAACCCACCGGCGATGTTTGTACACTGCACCATATGCGCATTTTGAAGGCCAGGTCAAAGAAAGGCCCAGGACTGGTTCAAATATTCGCCACCCGTTATTGGCCGTGAGCAGAAATCGAACTCAGGTCACCAGGTTCATAGGGCAGTGCGCTACAAACACTTCACCATGCTGCTGCTCCAACATAGATCCCCCCGCATAGCCTTGACAGACCGTTGGGGCAAGTGCTGCTAACGAGTAGCGCCTATGAAGGCCGGCACCGTGGCACACAAGGGAGTGGGTGGCAAGCGCCACGCCCGGCTGCCTTTGTCTCTCCCCATAACGGCGATGTTTGCTACACACCGCACCAGGTACTCATTTGAGCCTGAGTCGACCTAGGTGGAGGCCCGGGACCCGGTTCGGATAATCGTCACTGGTGTTGGCCGTGAGCGGGAATCGAACCCGGGTCGCCGGGTTCATAGCGCGGCGCGCTAACCGCATCGACGGACAAAGACTCACCCGGACACATATATACACTGACACACACACACACACGTGAAAATATTCCCTCTATGGTACTCTAAAGGTGTTGGGGCAAGTGCTTAAACACGCAAATAGACACTCACAGACTACACACAGACATCTAAAGACACGCGCGCACATGAAGTCAGACAGACTCGCACACTGGTTCACACAGACATGCTTAGACACCACACAAAGACACAGACTCACACTCACAAAGATCCATTGACAGACAAAATCAAAGATCAAAGTCAAGGACAAAGACTCACACTCAGATTTGCACACACAAAGACAAAGTCAAGAACACTCACAGACACAACACTCAGTCACACACACACACACATATATACACACAGACTCACACACAGACATACATAGATAGACACGCAAAGTGAAATACACTCAGAATCACACTGAGACTCACACACAGACTTGCATAGACACACAAAGACAGAGTCAAGGGCACCCACAGACTGACACTAAGACTCGCACACACACAACAAAGACAATGATCCCCCAGTATAGCCTTCATAGACTGTTGGGGCAACTGCTGTTAGCGAGCATCTATGAAGGCCGGCACTTACAAACACACAGAGTCACAGAAACTGACAGACTCATACGCAGACATCCACAGAGACACAGAGTCACAGACACTCACAGACTCACACTCAGACATCCATAGAGACACATAGGCACAGAAACTGACAGACTCACACGGAGACATCCACAGAGACACAGAGTCACAGACACTCACAGACTCACACGCAGACATCCATAGAGACACAGAGTCACAGACACTCACAGACTCACACGCAGACATCCATAGAGACACAGAGTCACAGACACTCACAGACTCACACTCAGACATCCATAGAGACACAAAGTCACAGACACTCACAGACTCACACGCAGACATCCATAGAGACACAGAGTCACAGACACAGACTCACACGCAGACATCCATAGAGACATAGAGTCACAGATACTCACAGACTCACACGCAGACATCCATAGAGACACAAATTCACAGACACTCACAGACTCACACACAGACATCCACAGAGACACAGAGTCACAGACACTCACAGACTCACACGCAGACATCCATAGAGACACAGACACTCACAGACTCACACGCAGAGATCCATAGAGACACAGACACTCAGAGACCCACACACAGACATCTACAGAGACACAGAGTCACAGACACCCACAGACTCACACGCAGACATCCACAGAGACACAGAGACACAGACACTCACAGACTCACACACAGACATCCACAGAGACACAGAGTCACAGACACTCACAGACTCACACGCAGACATCCATAGAGACACAGACACTCAGAGACTCACACACAGACATCTACAGAGACACAGAGTCACAGACACTCACAGACTCACACGCAGACATCCACAGAGACACAGAGACACAGACACTCACAGACTCACACACAGACATCCACAGAGACACAGAGTCACAGACACTCACAGACTCACACGCAGACATCCGTAGAGACACAAAGTTACAGACACTCACAGACTCACACACAGACATCCATAGAGACACAGAATCACAGACACTCACAGACTCACACACAGACATCCACAGAGACACAGAGTCACAGACACTCACAGACTCACACGCAGACATCCACAGAGACACAAATTCACAGACACTCACAGACTCACACGCAGACATGCACAGAGACACAGAATCACAGACACTCACAGACTCACACGCAGACATCCACAGAGACACAGAGTCACAGACACAGACTCACAGGCAGACATCCATAGAGACACAGAGTCACAGATGCTCACAGACTCACACGCAGACATCCACAGAGACACAGAGTCACAGACACTCACAGACTCACACGCAGACATCCACAGAGACACAGAGTAACAGACACTCACAGACTCACACGCAGACATCCATAGAGACACAAATTCACAGACACTCACAGACTCACACACAGACATCCACAGAGACACAGAGTCACAGACACTCACAGACTCACACTCAGACATCCATAGAGACACATAGGCACAGACACTCACAGACTCACACGCAGACATCCATAGAGACACAGACACTCACAGACTCACACACAGACATCCGTAGAGACACAAAGTTACAGACCCTCACAGACTCACACGCAGACATCCACAGAGACACAGAGTCACAGACACTCACAGACTCACACTCAGACATCCATAGAGACACAGAGTCACAGACACTCACAGACTCACACGCAGACATCCACAGAGACACAAAGTTAGATACATTCACAGACTCACACGCAGACATCCATAGAGACACAGAGTCACAGACATTCACAGACTCACACGCAGACATCCACAGAGACACAAAGTCACAGACACTCACAGACTCACACGCAGACATCCATAGAGACACAGAGTCACAGACACTCACAGACTCACACGCAGACATCCATAGAGACACAGAGTCACAGACACTCACAGACTCACACGCAGACATCCATAGAGACACAGACACTCACAGACTCACACACAGACATCCACAGAGACAGAGAGTCACAGACACTCACAGACTCACACGCAGACATCCATAGAGGACACAGAGTCACAGACACTCACAGACTCACACGCAGACATCCACAGAGACACAGACACTCAGAGACTCACACACAGACATCCATAGAGACACAGACACTCACAGACTCACACGCAGACATCCACAGAGACACAGAGTCACAGACACTCACAGACTCACACGCAGACATCCGTAGAGACACAAAGTCACAGACACTCACAGACTCACACTCTGACATCCATAGAGACACATAGTCACAGACACTCACAGACTCACACTCTGACATCCATAGAGACACAAAGTCACAGACACTCACAGACTCACACTCAGACATCCATAGAGACACAAAGTTAGATACATTCACAGACTCACACGCAGACATCCACAGAGACACAGAGTCACAGACACTCACAGACTCACACGCAGACATCCATAGAGACACAAAGTCACAGACACTCACAGACTCACAACAAGATATCCACAGAGACACAGAGTCACAGACACTCACAGACTCACACTCAGACATCCACAGAGACACAGAGTCACAGACACTCACAGACTCACACTCAGACATCCACAGAGACACAGAGTCACAGACACTCACAGACTCACACGCAGACATCCATAGAGACACAGAGTCACAGACACTCACAGACTCACACGCAGACATCCGTAGAGACACAAAGTCACAGACACTCACAGACTCACACGCAGACATCCATAGAGACACAGAGTCACAGACACTCACAGACTCACACACAGACATCCGTAGAGACACAAAGTCACAGACACTCACAGACTCACACGCAGACATCCATTAAGACACAGAGTCACAGACACTCACAGACTCACACGCAGACATCCACAGAGACACAGAGTCACAGACACTCACAGACTCACACTCAGACATCCATAGAGTCACAGAGTCACAGACACTCACAGACTCACACACAGACATCCATAGAGACACAGACACTCACAGACTCACATGGAGACATCCACAGAGACACAGAGTCACAGACACTCACAGACTCACACGCAGACATCCATAGAGACACAGAGTCACAGACACTCACAGACTCACACGCAGACATCCGTAGAGACACAGACACTCACAGACTCACACGCAGACATCCACAGAGACACAGAGTCACAGACACTCACAGACTCACACGCAGACATCCACAGAGACACAGAGTCACAGACACTCACAGACTCACACGCAGACATCCACAGAGACACAGAGTCACAGACACTCACAGACGCACACGCAGACATCCATAGAGACACAGACACTCACAGACTCACACACAGACATCCGTAGAGACACAAAGTTACAGACACTCACAGACTCACACGCAGACATCCATAGAGACACAGAGTCACAGACACTCACAGACTCACACACAGACATCCATAGAGACACAGACACTCAGAGACTCACACACAGACATCTACAGAGACACAGAGTCACAGACACTCACAGACTCACACGCAGACATCCACAGAGACACAGACACTCACAGACTCACACACAGACATCCACAGAGACACAGAGTCACAGACACAGACTCACACGCAGACATCCATAGAGACACAGAGTCACAGATGCTCACAGACTCACACACAGACATCCACAGAGACACAGAGACACAGACACTCACAGACTCACACGCAGACATCCACAGAGACACAGAGTTACAGACACTCACAGACTCACACGCAGACATCCGTATAGACACAAAGTTACATACATTCACAGACTCACACGCAGACATCCACAGAGACACAGAGTCACAGACACTCACAGACTCACACACAGACATCCGTAGAGACACAAAGTTACAGACACTCACAGACTCACACGCAGACATCCATAGAGACACAGAGTCACAGACACTCACAGACTCACACACAGACATCCACAGAGACACAGAGTCACAGACACAGACTCACACGCAGACATCCATAGAGACACAGAGTCACAGATGCTCACAGACTCACACGCAGACATCCATAGAGACACAAATTCACAGACACTCACAGACTCACACACAGACATCCACAGAGACACAGAGTCACAGACACTCACAGACTCACACTCAGACATCCATAGAGACACAAAGTCACAGACACTCACAGACTCACAAGCAGATATCCATAGAGACAGAGAGTCACAGACACTCACAGACTCACACTCAGACATCCATAGAGACACAAAATCACAGACACTCACAGACTCACACGCAGACATCCATAGAGACACAGAGTCACAGACACTAACAGACTCACACGCAGACATCCATAGAGACACAGAGTCACAGACACTCACAGACTCACACTCAGACATCCATAGAGACACAGAGTCACAGACACTCACAGACTCACACGCAGACATCCATAGAGACACAGACACTCACAGACTCACACGCAGACATCCACAGAGACACAGAATCACAGACGCTCACAGACTCACACGCAGACATCCACTGAGACACAGACCCTCACAGACTCACACACAGACATCCACAGAGACAGAGAGTCACAGACACTCACAGACTCACACGCAGACATCCACAGAGACACAGAGTCACAGACACTCACAGACTCACACACAGACATCCACAGAGACACAGAGTCACAGACACTCACAGACTCACACGCAGACATCCATAGAGACACAGACACTCACAGACTCACACACAGACATCCACAGAGACACAGAGTCACAGACACTCACAGACTCACACGCAGACATCCATAGAGACACAGACACTCACAGACTCACACACAGACATCCACAGAGACACAGAGTCACAGACACTCACAGACTCACACGCAGACATCCACAGAGACACAGAGTCACAGACACTCACAGACTCACACGCAGACATCCATAGAGACACAGAGTCACAGACACTCACAGACTCACACGCAGACATCCATAGAGACACAGAGTCACAGACACTCACAGACTCACACGCAGACATCAATAGACACACAAAGTCACAGACACTCACAGACTCACACTCTGACATCCATAGAGACACATAGTCACAGACACTCACAGACTCACACGCAGACATCCACAGAGACACAGAGTCACAGACACTCACAGACTCACACGCAGACATCCACAGAGACACAAAGTTACAGACACTCACAGACTCACACGCAGACATCCATAGAGACACAGAGTCACAGACACTCACAGACTCACACGCAGACATCCATAGAGGACACAGAGTCACAGACACTCACAGACTCACACGCAGACATCCATAGAGGACACAGAGTCACAGACACTCACAGACTCACACGCAGACATCCATAGACACACAAAGTCACAGACACTCACAGACTCACACGCAGACATCCATAGAGGACACAGAGTCACAGACACTCACAGACTCACACGCAGACATCCATAGACACACAAAGTCACAGACACTCACAGACTCACACTCTGACATGGACGGATATCAAATCTGTTGACCCCTTATCTGTGCCCTACCTTATTACAAAGCAGACCTTATTGGTCACCCCGTGCCCTTATAAATCTCAAAGTTCATCCCACAAAGTCCCATCACAAGGGAGAAACACAAACAAATAACTACGTTTTGCCCGTATTGAAACGGCTGTACGCCTTTATGGACTTGAAAATGAAATGTTCCCAGTACAAGAATACGGGGATAACCGTATGGGTTGACACGGTATGAGACACACAAAGTCACGGACACTCACAGGCTCACACACAGACATCCATAGACACACAAAAGTAAAAAAATAAACTCCCAGACTTGCATTCAGACATGCACATAGACACACAAAGACACAGACTCGCCACACTCATTTGAACACGTAGGCTTCGCGACCAATATCCACAATAGAGGTTTGTTTGGGTTAGATCGCGTAAATATATAAATGTGTCGTTAAAACCCGCCACCACCCGACACAGCCAACTTAGTAAGGGTCATCACGTAAACAGAACGTGGCCAATTCATCACTAGGACAACACCACCGGTGTGTGTTGGAGAGCCAAGCCACAACATTTACAATCTGAGTGCTACGTTTCGCAAGTAATTACAACTATATTCTTGGTTCTTTCGGCAAAGTCACCACGTAGAAGGGAAACAGTAAAATGATAAAAATATAAAACAATAAAATTCTCACGACGTTTCGACTGCAACACCAAGCAATCATCATCAGGTGTGAAAACCACTTGATGAAGCTAGTTGTAATTAAATTTTGATTTAAAGCTTTCGTGACTGCAGGGATTAATATTCTTGGTTCTTTCGGTAAAGTCACCACGTAGAAGGGAAACAGTAAAATAATAAAAATATAAAACAATACAATTCTCACGACGTTTCACACCTGATGATGATTGCTTGGTGTTGCAGTCGAAACGAATCATCGTCACGTGGCTTTCACACCTGATGATGATTGCTTGTGTTGCAGTCGAAACGTCGCGAGAATCGTATTGTTTTATAATTTTCATTTATCATTGTATTGTTTCCCTTCTACGTGGTGGCTTTACCGAAAAAAAAACAAGAATATGAATCCCTGCAGCCACGAAAGTTTTAGATAAAAAAATTTTTTATTACAACTAGCTTCATCATCATTCATAATAAAGGTTTTTGGGTTAGATCGCGTTTATTTATGAATGTGTCGTAACCCTCCACCACCCGACACGGCCAATCAGCAAAAAAAGTGTCACGTTGACAAAAGACAAATAATTCACTACTTCAGCCGACCGGTGTGTTGAAGAGTGAATCCACAACATTTACAGTTTGAGTACGACGTTTCGCTGGTAAATACATCCAGCATCATCAAGCAATTCGCCAGAATGGTAAAGCCCTCTTCACTTGCTCCCGGTTTTTATATAGAGCAGCAGGGTGACGTCATCACTTAACTCATATCAGGCGACAGCCAGATCGCCACAGTCGCACAGCGATCCCGTCCAACTTACGGGTGGCGGTGGCGAGGTGAAGGAGGGCGAGAACGAGCAGAGCTTGCACGGCGGCGGCCATTTTTATTTTATGGGGTTTTTCTTCTTTTTTTTAGCTTTCGCTGTCAACGACGGCTTGAGATGTGGCTGATGAAGCTTCGCTTCGGAGTTGCGAGCCTGGGAGTTTGAGCCCCGCTTTTAAAGGCAGCAACCGGGGGCTGGGGCCTGGCACTGACCCAGCCAGCGACAGGGCCCAGCCTCAATAGGTGCAGTGTCGCGGCCGGCAGCGGCCAAGAAGCAAAGCAAACGGCCCCGTCTATTTCCTGTCAAAATACGGGAGCTGTAACATTCTCTCTCTCTCTGTCCTCCTCCCACCGTGCTAACGTAAATAGCACAATTTTTTTTTAATTAAACGTTGAACAAGGAGACGCTCAACTAAATAAGGGAACTGCTTGATTCATTCTGAAATTAAAATGTGAAAAAGCCAACATTTTGTGAACGGCTTCATGCTAAATAATAATAATATCATAGCAAACATCGAGGGTGACCTGAAGCACCCTTGCTACTGGCTGAACAAGAGGCATCCTCTTTGAGAGATGTTCCCAAGCAGAAACAGGACCTCCTTTCAGTTCCTGTTATGCCAAAGCCTGGGCAAAATGAAATATCAACGGGTGGCGTCTGAATGGGGCCCCATGTATTTTTATTTCTTCCCCTCAACGCGTATAAGGAAGCGGGTGGCCTCGTTTGAAACACTGGGGGGGGTAAACATACAGCCAACAGAGAGGTGTTGAATCCTCTCTAAATGTTTTTGGGCTACGTTTTTTTTTTCATTGAGCGTCTGTACATTTCCACTCGACGCCGCTAAATGTCGCATTTGCCTCGATGTCAAGCGAAAACCGAACGCGTGTTTTGTTTAAATTTTGCCTAGTACTCAGCTAACGCGGCTCTTTTTTTCAGAAGCCACCTGGCCAGCACAAGTGGCAACTGAAAAAAAGTGGCGGCTTGCCATCACGTTGAGCAGCCAAATGCCCTCAAAGGCCGCGATGGTGCTTCCAGACGTGGATGGGAAAATCCCGGAGGACCCGGAGAAAAATCCACGCGACCACAGAGAGAACGTGCAAAACTCAAAGTACTCAGGAGTCAGGATTGCGATCGAAACCCATGACCTCCTGTACACCAGGCGAGGTAGCTGACACCTTTGCACCGTGGCGCCGCTAAAAACTCCGAGCGAGCACTTCCGATGCCTTGGTAGCCCGCTCAACTCACCAACTCCATGCGACCATCGTGAATTCCAATACTGCTCACAGTGAAGGTACCGCGTGTCTTTACTTTCATGCGCGTGTCGGTTAACAACAACAACAACAACGAAAAATGCCGGTGTTCAGTGGCAACCACCAGCAGTACTACTAAATGTTGTGCCGTGCATTTTTCTGAAATGTTATTTTTTTTTTCCATTTGAATCGGTGTTTTTTTTAAATTTTGGCATTCACGGTTGTTGGTGTCTACATTTTTTTTTATCTTCTTTGGTTCTTTATTCTTAGTTTTTTCGGTAAAGTCACGTTGAAGAGAAACAACAAAATAATAAAATATATATAAATCAATAAAAAAATTCTCACGACGTTTATGGTCGAAACGTCGTGAGAATGTTTTATTGTTTTATATATATTTTATTATTTTGTTGTTTCTCTTCAACGTGACTTTACCGAAAAAACTAAGAATATGAATTACTGCAGTCACGAAAGCTTTAAATCAAAATTCTTTGGTTCTTTCGGTAAAGTCACGCGGAATGTTTATCTTTCATTTTTTTTATCAATGTATTATTTTATTCTCATTCCACGTGGTGACTTTACCGAAAGAACCAAAGAAGATGAATCATTGCAGTCACGAAAGCTTTAAATCGAAATAGAATTTTTTTTTTAGTCGAATTCTTTCTCTTCAAATTTTATTACTTGTTTATCTTTTCGTTCGGGGGGGGGGGACCCCCTGTGGCCGGCTGGGCCCACGATGCGTGGCACAAGGCTGTCCCATAATCCAGCCCACCCACCCCCCATAGTTGCCCCCTGGGTGGAGGCGAAGGCTGAGAGGCGACGGATAAGGAGAAAGGACGGTGCTGTCAGCGGTGTAAGTGTGGGGTTGAGGTGACTCAAATCAGGCAGCGGTATTCATAAAGCAACGACTAATTTTGCAAAACGACCTTAAAGGGGGGAGAAATAAATCTGGGTGTTGCTGTTTTTTTAGTTTTGAGAGGTTTTTTGGGGTTTTTTATGGGTTTTTTCGGATTTTGGTGGGTTTTTTTGCCTTGTTATTTTGTTTTCGGAGGGTTTTGGGATTTTTTTCGGTTTTTAGTGGTGCTTGGGTTTTTAGGGGGATTTTTTTTGCTTTGGGATTTTTTTTAAAATAATTTTTAGTTTTTAGTGTTTTTTGGGTTGTTTTGGGTTTTTTCGGTTTTAAGTGGTTTTGGGGTTTTTTTCATTTTTCTTAGTTTTTTGGGGAGTTTTGGATTTTTGAATGCTTTTTAGTGGTTTGGGGGTTTTTGGAGGTTTTCAGAATATTTTTAGGTTTTGTTTTGTGTGTGTTTTTAGTAGGGTACTCATGTTTGGGGGGGGGGGGGGGGATTTAATGTTTTTCATGCTTTCTGGCGTTTTTTTTGTTTTTCGGGGGTTTTGGGATTTCCTTCAGTTTTTAGTGGTTTTCGGGTAATTTTAGGGTTTTTCAGTTTACAGTGTTTTTTTTAGTTTTTTTAGTGTTTTCGGGTTTTTTTGTGGTGTTTTGCGTTTAAACATTTTTTTTAGTTTTGGGGGGTTTTTGGAAAAAATTAGGTTTTTAGTGGGTTTTATTTATATATACGGGTATTTTAGTTTTTAGTGGTTTTTGAGTTGTTTGTGTGTTTTTTCGTGGGTTTTGGGATTTTTTTCGGTTCTTAGTGGTTTTGGGGATTTTCTGTTTAGGTTTTTGGGGTTTCTTTTATAGCTTTTAGTGTTTTTGGGCTATTTTGGGTTGTTTTCGGTTTTTAGTGTTTTTTTTTTAGTTTGATAGATTTTGGGGGTTTTGGGTTTTTTTTAGGTTTTTGGTTTTTTTTATTTTTTGGGGCAGGGGATGGACAACAAACTGCACTTTAAATCTAGATGATGATATAATTACCATAGGCTTCCTAATATCAGAAGAACATTCCAGACAGGCACAGAAGCAAAAAATGCCACTATTGCATTGCCTGTATTTGTTTGTATATATTATATATATTACACATTGTAGAAAATATATTGTCCTATTTGATGGATCTGAATCACTGTTTTGTGATTTTTGTTTTACTGCGTTTTTTTTTAAAAGAGTAAACTCACAAGCTGACTTGACCTTCTCTCACCCCCACTACACACACGCAGCCTGTTTTTCCTGGACACCGTTCATCATACATAAACACGTAAGTATATATATACACATACGTATATATGCTTATATTTATATGCACATACTACACTAAAAACTAATCTTTTTTTTAATTTCAGGTAAGGCCCACTGAGCTATGTAGATTTTTCGGATGCGGCTTGGCTATCACAAATGATAGCTCAATGAAGTGGCTCATCGCATGGAAACTTATAGCAGCCAACTACACTAGACGCGTGTTTCTAAAGACTCATAGTGAAGCACACAGAGATCCATGGAAGTGATAAACCGGAGTGCCTGGAGGAAAAATCCATGCGACCACGAGGAGAGAGACATGCAAATACATATGATAGGCTAATGAAGTGGCTTATCACGTGGAAATTTATAGCAGCAGGCAGTGACTCTAAGCGCGTGGATGTTGAGTCTAAATGTGCAGTAAAAAGGATAAGGAGAAAGGACGGTGCTGTCAGCGGTGTAAGTGTGGGGTTGAGGTGACTCAAATCAGGCAGCGGTATTCATAAAGCAAGGAATAATTTTGCAAAACGACGTTAAAGGGGGGAGAAATAAATCTGGGTGTTGCTGTTTTTTTAGTTTTGAGAGGTTTTTGGGGTTTTTTATGGGGGGTTTTCGGATTTTAGTGGGTTTTTTTGCCTTTTTAATAAGTTATTTTGTTTTCGGAGGGTTTTTGGATTTTCCATCGGTTTTTAGTGGTGCTTGGGTTTTTAGGGGGATTTTTTTGTTTTGGGATTTTTTTTAATAATTTTTAGTTTTTAGTGTTTTTTGGGTTGTTTTGGTGGTTTTTTTCGGTTTTAAGTGGTTTTGGGGGGGGGGTTCATTTTTTTGTTTTTTGGGGAGTTTGGGATTTTTTATGCTTTTTAGTGGTTTGGGGGTTTTTGGAGGTTTTCAGAATTTTTTTAGGTTTTGTTTTGTGTCTTTTTAGTAGGGTACTCATGTTTTGGGGTGGGGGGGGATTTAATGGTTTTCAGGCTTTTTTGGCGTTTTTTAGTTTTTCGGGGGTTTTGGGATTTACTTCAGTTTTTAGTGGTTTTCGGGTAATTTTAGGGTTTTTCGGTTTTAAGTGTTTTTTTTAGTTTTTCGAGTGTTTTCGGGTTTTTTTGTGGTGTTTTGCGTTTAAACATTTTTTTTTAGTTTTGGGGGGTTTTTGGAAAAAATTAGGTTTTTAGTGGGTTTTATTTATATATATGGGTATTTTAGTTTTTAGTGGTTTTTGAGTTGTTTGTGTGTTTTTTCGGTTTTGTGTGTTTTTTCGTGGGTTTTGGGATTTTTTTAGGTTCTTAGTGGTTTTGGGGATTTTCTGTTTAGGTTTTTGGGGTTTCTTTTATAGCTTTTAGTGTTTTTTGGGCTATTTTGGGTTGTTTTCGTTTTTTTTTTTAGTTTGATAGATTTTGGGGGTTTTGGGTTTTTTTTAGGTTTTTGGTTTTTTTAATTTTTTGGGGCAGGGGATGGACAACAAACTGCACTTTAAATCTAGATGATGATATAATTACCATAGGCTTCCTAATATCGGAAGAACATTCCAGACAGGCACAGAAGCAAAAAATGCCACTATTGCATTGCCTGTATTTCTTTGTATATATTATATATATTACACATTGTAGAAAATATATTGTCCTATTTGATGGATCTGAATCACTGTTTTGTGATTTTTGTTTTACTGCGTTTTTTTTTTTAAAGAGTAAACTCACAAACTGACTTGACCTTCGCTCTCACCCCCACTACACACACGCAGCCTGTTTTTTCCTGGACACCGTTCATCATACATAAACACGTAAGTATATATATACACATACG